TTGAGTGACGTCATAATATCACGTGATTTCAGCACTAAAGCTACTCTTCTGACATTGCTATCACTGAAAACCATAAAGTAGAGGGTGCAAGCTTTCCAAAAATGTATGATAGCATTTGTCCCCCTGACTGTTACCGAAGACCTTATTTTTGGGGGCCTGGCCCATGGACTAGATTGGATGGATTTGTTCTGAATAATACACTGAAACAGTGTTACAAATCAACCAATCAGAGACGATATTTATCGTGGTTTTTATTGGTGGTTGGAACATCAAAATGTGGTAAACTAAGACTGAACGTTGAGCACTCTAACATGGCATTTCATAGCAATATATAGAATTGAGAAGCATTTTTGATACGATTTTATTCGTACAAAGATTACCGTGTAAATATTATTGTGTACTTTTGTAAAATAATTATAAATATATTAAAATAACTGTGAACATTTTAAAAATAATAATTAGGTAACATTAGCCATTACTTTATTGCTCATAACAAAACCTTCTCACAGCACGAGTATAACATTCTTGAAATGTGATTCCTTCCTAGACGACTTTTCCACATGTGCAGGTGGCACAGACGAAAGAAGAGTCTTCTTACCTGCTCCTCACTTTCTCATAAAGAAGAACCACCAGCTTGAGCTGGATTCTTGACGCGTGTAGTATTTGATTTTTCGATTTATTTCAAAATATTTCTATTTACCCAAATAAGCAGTCAGCTCATTCGTCTTTGTAAATTAGCAAATAACGATGTTCTTGAAAGAATCGTGTTCGTGTTTTCATTTCATCAGAGCGGTATCACGAAGCAGCCATCTTTATTTACACTAGGAATAAGATGAGTGCAAACTCATCCCTAACTCTTGACTGCATTTTTAGTTCGAATTTAAGCTGACATGTACATGGCTGCCATGCACGCGAGAAAAGTTTGTAGTTGTTGAGGATTTGTCAAAAACTACGTTTTTGAAAGGCAACTTAAGCTTTGTTGTGGTTTACGATGCACAGGAGAGGTCAGGATTAAAACAATATTGAGCTCAGTCGAGCGCATGAGACACTAGTTATTTCATGCTGTAACGGTTTCAGCTTTTATATCGTCTACAGATTTTTCAAAAAGGGAATCCGAATAAAACAGCAGAACGTATACGATGATAATAAATGCCAGTTCCATTGTCTAGAAGGACTAAAAGGATCTTTAAGCTTCGTTTACACCAATATGTATACAGAGGTTTTTTGAAAAATGAACAAAGAAAAATGACAGAAAACGAATCGAATTTATTCGTGGTTTTTCCGGTCATAAAAGAGGCTATAGATAACGTGTAGCTGGAAGCAGCATGTTTAAGTGATTACTCAGTATACTGAATCCCTTGAACACAGATGACTTTTGGTGGAACGTTCGTGGTGATCTGAGTGGCGATTTCTGCTGAGAATTTACTGCAGCTTAGACTTCAACTACAAAGTGAAATACGCCTCTTTTTCCCACGCGCGATTAGGAGTTGTATGCGTGCTTTTATATGTTCTATGCCATAAATCGTAACCTTTACTTATTTTTTGAGATGGTTAAATAAGTTACCTTTTATAGATCGTATTCTTTTCTTGCGTATCCTCGTTTACATACGACTACATGGGTCTCCTGAATAATGGCGTCGTCTGTGACACTGAATCTACGCTAGACTAGTCCAGTGTCAGCTTCATATTGACCTTGTCAGAACGAGGTAGTATATTGCTAGGCAACGTACTGAGCCTTGGGCAGCTATAGCCACTTTCACTTCCGCTAGTTTACAATCCTACCTTCGAACCAAAGCTAGTTTGAGCGTTAGAAAATTCTTTTATTTATCTAATTAACATTAATATTATATCTATACGGAAAATGGGTATTGAGCTCACGCGTGATAAGCTCACGCGACTTACCCATGTTCTAAACCCCCCCCCCCCCCATCCCCCAAGGCAAAATCCTGACTCCGACCTTGCTTTGTACTCAACAAAGATTGCACAAGTAAAAATGATAGGACCGAAACCACTGCCAATCAATTTATATTCATTAATAGTAAACTGATTCTTGTTTATGGATAACGCATTTAGGGTTGGCCTCTGTCAGGCCTCAGTTAATAGATTCCTTTCTTTGAGTATATTTTTGTTTCACGGGCTTTAACCCTATAGAATCCGCAGCAAAAAGAATGATCCCTCTGAATTAGTAACCGCCCCTCACAATTTAAGGGAATATGTCGGTTAAACAATAATAATAAGTAATTGTTTTCAAGTTATCTTCTTAAGTCTCATTTGCGTGCATTCAATGGTTTGTTTCCATCCTCTTCAATAGTTTTTGATGTAGTTTTCATTCTCTTTTTCTAGTAAAACGGTGGAACAGTAAAGATGCTGGTTGTTTTCATATTTTGCTCATAAAGACTCTATTTCTATCAAACTAATTAATAGAATTCATCTAATGAAGTGAATTTAACGCAACTCAGACTGCATCGAAATGGCTTTCTACGGCGCCGTAGTGCCACAGAATGGTTTCCCAGCCGCACCAAAGGTTTTTCAGTTTAGACATTAAAATGGCTTCCCAAGACTGACATCAAACTGGGTTCCAGGAGTGTCATTCTCGGAAAATTCATAGGTGCATGATGGACACATCCAAGATAGATATATGAAGGAAGGGATAATATCTTTGTGATTTTCATATTTTATTGAATTTTACTCGGCATGCAAGATTAAGTTTTTCCCAATCTGAATATGCGAATAGAACAAGGTACTTTTACCAGGTCTTTTTATTCCATCAAATTCCGCCAATCCAACCATTATAAATTTCCTTCATTTACGACAAGCTTTCAGCTAAATTTCTGGAAGAAAAATGAAAAACAACAAGGAAATAAAAGGAAAAGGAAAAAACATAGGGAAAACCATTCAAGTGTAAATACGTTGCCGTAGTAACAAAGCACGTGACCCACAATGCATTGCGGTCATACATTAACACGAAAAACATGGCGGACTTGCAAAGCGGAGGTGTGAAACATGAGGGGAATATAATGTCGCTGTTTGTAACGGTAAGAACTGTTGAACACCATGATACGAACTTTGAAATATTTAGCTTAAGTCTTTCTACGTATACTGGAACGGTTTATTACGATATTTTGCCTGCATTTTTGTTTTACTGGTGAAGTAGTGTTTTGCAGCACGAAGGTGAACCCACGTGCCCGAGAAAAGCTTCGTTAATATGGTTTATCTGTGGGTTAAGTTGTTCTTTCTTATCCCAGCTAGTTAACTACTACTTATTTGAAGCATTATGTGTTTTTTATTTTATTTTGAAACTGCTTTTACTCTCTTTAAATTAAATGTTTAGACTTTCCCTACAAACTCCCCCTCCCCTCTCCCCTTCCTTTTCACCCCACTCTCCCCCATTACGAATATTATTTTATTAATTGTTGTTATTATCATTATTATTTCATTCATTATTATTATTATTATCATTAATATTAATTATTATTTTTATCATTATTATTGTTTGAAATCGCTCCAAACACAAGACAGTTGTTTTGACATTGGATGCAATATTCTATTCCTACCCCTCCCCTGACAGAACTACACTCATAGGAATGCAAAAATGAAAATTTTCTACATACCTCTGGAATTTAGAATACTGCAATATTAATTTTGGAAAAAACACTGTTGGTCAGATTTAGTGAGAATACTGGTTTTCATATCTGACATTTTAGAGGAATCCAAGAAAAGATTTGTTATTCCTGCCATCATGTCTTCTGTCATATTTTATTCTTTTGGGGATTATTACAAAGCATCAACCCATTCACGCAGCTTAATACATAATAGACTGTTTTCACAAGGTTGGGTATTAATTTTGAAAAACACTGTTGGTCAGAATTAGTGAGAATACTGGTTTTCATATCTGCCATTTTAGAGGAATTCAACAAAAGATTTGTTATTCCTGCCATCATGTCTTGTCATATTTTATTCTTTTGGGGATTATTAAAAAACATCAACCCATTCACACAGCTTAATGCATAATAGACTGTTTTCTCAATGTTGTGTGCAAGTTGAATGAGCACACAACATTGAGAAAACGGTCTATTACATACCTATCTACTGTGTCATAGCAATACTTTAGGTGACATAAGTCTTGGTAAATCATATATCAACTAGATGTTGATTGGCTGGTGACACAAAGCAACTTTGTGACAAGCTTTTGTAAAAATGGTTAGCATGTAATCATTACAAATTATGCTTTTGTTAGTAAACATGAATTATTGTTATACTCTTGCAATAATTGTTTATAGAACAAGGCAATAAAATTGTCATTATATATTTTCTTAGTTTGTAACTTACTTTTTCCTTTTATTTCAGCTATACAATGGAATTGAGGGACCAATGATTATTATTGTTTCAAATTGTAAGTTTTCAGAGTAATACATATTGTGCTAGTATATACATCACAAGGGTATTATATCTGTATGCATAAGAGAAAACCAATCAATCACTAACAGTCACAAGAGAAAAAAGTGTGTCCATTTAAAAAATGTCAGAGGGTACATCACAAAAGAACCTGAACAGCAGAGTTTTAAAATCTTGAATTAAAATTTTTTTAGTTAGTTATGGCTGGTAGTTATGATATAAATGTTGCCTAATGTTTGACTATGAGTAAATGAATGAATTAGGCAAACAGCATATGTTTGTAAGAGAAAAAAGTGTGTCCATTTAAAAAATGTCAGAGGGTACATCACAAAAGAACCTGAACAGCAGAGTTTTAAAATCTTGAATTAAAATTTTTTTAGTTAGTTATGGCTGGTAGTTATGATATAAATGTTGCCTAATGTTTGACTATGAGTAAATGAATGAATTAGGCAAACAGCATATGTTTTGGTTCTGACTAGTCTAGAATTATTTTCAACCTTTGATAAAAAGAGTGAAGCAAAAACATTTGATGATAAAATTTATAGCAATTATTTTAGAGTCTTCCTTCAAGAGTCTTTCTCAAGAGTGTTTAACATAGCAATAGATTCAGGTTTTAAGCCTGTCTTGCAATATTTTAAAGTCTGTTTGAAGCAAGCAATTATGATATAATGGTTATACATCTACTGTACTTATAGTGAATTATATGAAAGAAACTCAAAGACAGACATTTAGAGCTACATATATACCAAAACTATTTAGGAAAATTTTTTTTTGAGAAGTATACACCCATGTATTCATAGTATTCATGTATTCATTCAAGAAAGAAACTTGTAGACAGACATTTGGAAAAAGTTTGGAAAGTTGTTGACCATTCAGACATTGGTCCTTTGTCGGTGTAAAAGAGCTACATATATACCATAGCTATTTATGAAAATATATTTGAGAAATATGCATGTATTCATAGCTCCCAGGTCAAACATCAGTAATAAGAAAATCCCTTAGAGGTAAGTTGACTTTACCTATATAGAGTGTATCAGAAACATTCAGTTTTGATAGGGATTCTGCCTATACAGTTCAATAATTAAGATGAGCAGTTTGGTATTCAAGGAAATTACTATTCCAGTATATGTATATACGAATAGTACAGTACCGCCTGAAATCATTGAGGCATAAGACGCGTCCGTCGCGCGTTCAGTGCACGCGGTAAAAACGCAAATAAGCCGCGTCCTGACCTAGAATTGACCGCGATTTAACCGCGGTTGCCGAAAAAACGCGTCCCATACAGTATCATACTGTACAAAGCGCTGTTTGGTTATACAGTATTCCTA